ACCCTAAATTAACTAGATTTTAGGAAAATTTCAGAACACCTGAGCAAAATTAAAACTGACAAAAATCCCATCTAAAAATATTTAAAATGATAATATTCAATGAGAAAATTAATTTACTCAGTTAAAAACTACCTTATATCAACAAGAGAGCATTCCAAAGATAATCTTCCCATTGTCTTTAGATTTTCTTGAAGTTCTCTTAAACAGTTAACATTCACTACTAGTTGAACACCCACGTCATACAGCAAGACCTAAGAAAACAATAACTTTAAGTCTGTGAAAGACAACACTTCAAAATGTTTTTTTGCAAACTGAAAAACATAATAAAAATTGGATTAAATAGCTCCAGGAAAAACAAAATGCATTCACTTTCCCCACTATACTTTTAACTCTGCAATTTACCTCTACCAAAGTGTCTGTAACCACTTTGATGATCTGGCCTCTTCGCCACTGGTTCTTATCTGGGATCCTGACAGCACAGTGCATATCATTTTCCCATTCAACAGGTTCCCATTTTGAGTTTTCATAAGCAGCTATCATCTTTTCTTCCAAACTATATAAAGATAAAAAAAATTAAACTTCCAAAACTTTTCCTAAAAAAAAAGAATCCCCAAACAAAAGGTTTCCAACCCCCCCCCTTGCTCATTTCACCCCAGCCACACGGGACACCTGTTCTCCCTTGAGTAGACCAAGCACATTTCTACCTCCGGCCTTTGCACGAGCTCTTCCCTCTGCCTGTGATGTGCTTCCCTCAGATACCCACGTGGCTCCCCACTCCTTCCTCAGGGCCCATTTCGAATGTCACTGTCTCTGTGAGGTCTTCCTTGACCACCTAAATGCTTTATTTTCTGCTGTCCTTATCACTATCTGCCACACTAAAAGTTTTATTTGTTCATTGTCTTTCCCTCTACTAGAATTTAAGCTCCATGACTGCAAAGCCTTCTCCATGTTTTTACTACTATATCCCTGACACCTAGAATACTGATTTGTCATATGGCAGGTGCTCAGTAAGTATTTATGGAATGAATAAATTCTAGTGTAGTGAAAATAACCAACGGAGATACCATTTTATACTTCTACTTTAGAGACTATTCATTTAAAATAATTCTGCTTTTAAAATGTTACATTTGTGACTTCTAGATATTTGAAACAAAATATAGAAACAAAAAAATCATATGCAATATGTTTTCCTTATATATTATACCTATTAAGTAAGTTTTCTGTTAATAACCACTGAACATAAATCTTCTCAGGAGATATTACATTACAGATATGCACAGGCAGTTCCTTATTATAAAGTGATTGGAAATTCTCATTAGGCAGAGATTTTGTAGACACAGCATTTGAGTTGTTTAATTCATTTGAGATAATTTCTTCTGGAGAAGGATCCCATACTTCAATATGCTTTTTACAATTATCTTTGAGCATATATCTGAAAAATAACAAAAGTAAACAAGAAGAATAATATGCAAAATACTTATGTTTGTATTTGCTCAGCTCTGTATGTTGACTGTGATGTTACATGATTATACATTTGTCAAAATTCACTCAACTATGCACTTAAAAAGGGTGAATTTTTACTGTATATAACTTATACCTCAATAACCCTATCTTTAAGAAGAAAAGAGAAGATTCAGTCCAATGTAGTTTAAAAGTTTATTCTCATTTCTTTCTCCTCCCTCCTTCGAGACCTACAGTGGAAAAATGACAGTCCCTCCTCCTCCTGCTTCTAGCTCCTCCAGTTTTAGGGTAGGCAGGGGAAGCTCAGCCACAGACATTAACACAAGGAGTTGTCACTGCAGGCCTCCGGTGGGTGTCATTGCTTCTCTGGCTCACGCTGACAGGCCTCACAAGTGGGTGCTATCCAAATACTGGCCTTCTTGGGGGCTATATGTGGGAGGTCTGCAGAAGACCCCCCAGGGGTCACCCCCACTGCACAAGTCCCTGTTGTGGAAGAATTCTTCGTCTTGACCTCAAACCCTTCCAACCTGTCTTCACCACCACTCTGCTCTTCTGCTGCTGGGGTAGCCTCAACCACCAGCCTGTCCTGGCTGGATATCAGCACACTGGCTCGAGCCTGGTTATCTTTCACACTATCCACTTGAACCCAGGAAAATTCACATTTCTACAAATGAGAATGAAAGCTCCTCTACCACTGCGCTTACTCTCTACCTTGCCATTTCTCTATCCTGCTGTTTTTCTTCCCAATTCCCTTCTCAAACAGGCACAAGGGGCTGCCTAAGCAGACATGCCACCTGGAAATAAGATGCCAATCTCCGTTTCTCAGAAGCACCTTTGAACTCTAGGAGTCTTTCTCTTGGTTTCTGGGTTCCTTAGGGATGAAGGGAAAAGCCACTCTACTTCTCATTAGACAAATGACTCCAGTTATTTCCTATTGTTTCTAACCCAGGAAGAGGGAAGATTCCCAACAGTATAGCCTAAGCAAATATCTGATGGGGATGACATGCCAGTTTCCCTTCTTGTGATTAAAATGTTACATACGAAATGAAAATCAAACTTTACACATCTACTCACCCTTCTTCATACGACGCAAGGCCCTCATTAACAAGCTGGTCATTGATACTAGTAGGAGTCATTCCAGGAGCATCAAGAGAATCAAAAAGCTCAACTAAGAGCACACTGTCTTCCAAAATTTCTGTAAAACCATTAAGACTAGTTTGGGTAAAGAAATAAATATGTCACAAAAAATACTAAATGGGTAAATTTTTTAAAAATTGGAAACTGTAATTTCTTTCATTTTGCATGTATGAGAATTCTTCCTGAATAATATCATAGTAGATCTCTAGGACTTAAAGTAGCACTTTGCAGATATAAATGAATTGTGAATGTTATCTGTAG